GAGTCATAATGATCAGTTGGCCAGAAGGCACGAGACTTGCCCTGCATGACATGCAGGGCAAGGAGCTTGTGCTGTAGCAGACATACATGAAAACAGAAAATTAAATAGAGAACAAAACTCCTGAAGTGAATACCCCAAAGATCAGTTATGGTTTTGGATTTTGAAAACATGAAAAGCTTGTAATCAGTATTCACCAGATGGATCCAGTTTAGAAATATCCTGATGTGACAACAGATGTTATAACTTCTCTTTATAAAGTTTTCATAAAATTTCCTTTTAGTTTTATTTGACATTTTTTATGAATGTAAAAGAGAGAGAATTGAAGGAAATTTTGTAACTGATTAATTAAGTAATAGGTGCAATTTTGTATTTTATACTTTCTGATCATTTCAGTCTGTAAAGTTAAAGCAGACAAACGGCTGGTTTATACTTCTTGTCGCACATCTTCTACCACACGCTGAGTGACAAAAAGTTGCGCAACTTCTGTCTGCACTCCCGCTGTAATCCCCCGGTATGTTGTTGTGTGTCTTATCATGTGTTCTTTCTTTAGTCTAAACACAATGAGTTATGTTGTGATGTTTGACGTAAAAGGAAACACCTCCAGGGATGTAACCAGGAAGAAAGAGCTCAATTCGTATTAAGAAGTTGTCAGTGGGTTGCACAGTTTCTGCTTCAGAGCAGGGCAGCTGTGATTTGGTTCAGCCCAAGTTCTAACTGAGGCCTGTGTGCTGAGTGCTGTGCTGTGAACCTGATTAAAGTCAGAAGACTGAAAATAAAGTTTTAACAAGAAATCTAGTGGATTCCTGTTTATTTGGACATACCATTTTGAACAATGCACATTTTTCCTACAAATTGGTGAACTGATGGTGATGTGTGATCTTGAATAAGCAGAAAACATTGATTTTATTTTTGGCTGTTGAAGAAACTGAGAAGATTTTGAAACATCAGCTGCCAAGGGTGAGGACAGATAAGCTTCAAGATGCCTCCTTTCTTTTCCAAAGAGGATTTCTGCCAGCTTCTCCAAAAGGTGATGGTGTTGGAGCTCAAGATTCATCGTCTGGAAGAGATGAATGCTTTGGAGAACTCAACATGTGTTAAAATGGGTGAGAAGGCTGAGAGGAGAGATCAACATGAAGAGGAGATGGAAGCTGCTTCTGAGGGTCAAGCTGTATGTTTGTATGTATGTGTGTATGTGTGTGCGTGTGTGTGTGTGTGTGTGTGTGTGTGTGTGCGTGCGTGTGTGTGTGTGTGTGT